CCCCTCACTGGGGGATTCTAGGCAGGGGCTCTACCACTGAGCCACACCCCCAGCCCCTCACTGGGGGATTCTAGGCAGGGGCTCTACCACTGAGCCACGCCCCCAGCCCCTCACTGGGGGATTCTAGGCAGGGCTCTACCACTGAGCCACGCCCCCAGCCCCTCACTGGGGGATTCTAGGCAAGGCTCTACCACTGAGCCACGCCCCCAGCCCCTCACTGGGGGATTCTAGGCAGGGGCTCTACCACTGAGCCATGCCTTCAGCATCACTAATCACTAACTGAAGAAATTATAAGAAATACTCTAAATTACATTATACTCCAAGAAAAAGTATAATTGTTATTTGAAAAAAAAAATCTAAAGAGATACAGACCTGAACAGAAGCCAGGTCGAGCAGGAAGTGTCTATAAACATCCATTACTCAACTTTTAAAAATAGGTCGATTAAAAAGATATTTTGTTTTTAAGTCAATGGGATTGGGTGCTCGATAGACACAGGCAGCACATCCTGTAATGCCAACACTCCAGAGGCTGAGGCAGGAGGAGTGCTCTGAGTTCAAGGCTACCCTGGGCTACAGAGCCGTAATGTCTGGACAAAATAAGTAATGGAGTGTGACCGGCAAGGGTGGAGAGCCAGGGTGTGCTGGAGTGAGTAAGGAAAAACACAGGTGAGGATGCAAGTGTGGGCTCTGCCCCCTCCCTCCTCCACTCACCATCAGATTCCCTGGGAAGGGAGGTCTGAACTCCTGGGCTGGTTTGATCTGGAACTGGGGTAAAAACAGGGTCAGCGAGAGAAGTGAGAAGGGAACAGCGGAGAATTTCTGCAGGTGAAGGCTGGAGGGTTTCCATAGCAACTCTCCTTTTCTCCTAAATGCCTGCCCGTGTGCAAGGTGGGCAGAGGCGCTCACTCTCCAGTGTCTTTCCTGAAGAGCTGCCGGCCTTCCCTTCTTTGAGACTGGCTCTCTCATTGGCCTGGGACTCACCAAGGAATCGAAGCTGACAAGCCCTGGGGGTCTACCTGCCTTGTCTCCCCGCCTTGGGGGGGGGGTTACAACCACCAAAATTATGCTGGGCCTTTTTTTTTTTTTTTTCTAGACAGGGTTTCTCTGTGTAGTCCTGGCTGTCCTGGAACTCACTCTGTAGACCAGGCTAGCCTCGAACTCTCGAACTCAGAAATTTGCCTGTCTCTGCTTCCCAAGTGCTGGGATTAAAGGCGTGGGCCACCACTGCCTGGCAATGATGGGCCTTTTATAATAGTTCTGGGGACTGAACTAGGGGCCACATGGTACTGAGGCAAGCCTTTTCTCCCTCTGCTCTCTACTCCATTTTGAGGCCATGAGAGGAATTCAGACTTTTTGATAAGCTCTCAAGCAGGGTGCCCAGACCTCCCCTGCCTCCACACCCATTAGCAGGACTCAGATGTCTTTCCGGGGAAAAAGGTGTTTGACTCAGTTTCCCACACCTGTCTGACCACAGAGGACTACTGCCTGCCATCCCAGCACTCAGTGGGTGGGTCCTGGTGGGAGACTCCTCCTCCCCTGACGTCAAATGGGGCAACTGATCATAGAGAAAGGTGGAGCTTTAGATTCTCCTCAACGAGAAGCTGACTGGGGATGAACTTCACACAGAGCAACCGGAAGCAAGAGTTCGTGCTGAGTTCCTCAGAGTAGTTTTTAAGCACCTAGATCAAGCCTTTACTGAACCTCTAGCCCTGATTTTTTTTTTTTCAGTTACACAAATGTAAATATTCCTCTTCGGTCTAAGCATGATGGTGGTGTTGTCCATGGTGAGAATTTCACTGATCGCTTTTCTTACCTGGGACATAGTCAGAAGGAGTCACAGAAGTCTGGTCCTTTGTAAAAGTGGAAGTGGGATTTTTTGGTGTCTGCCCTGGGGAGATAAAGGCTGAGGGTCAGGAAGGAGCCTCTCACCCCGTGCTCCTGTCTTCTGTCCCACCATGGCTGGCCCTCCGAAGTCCCAGGGGAATCAGCTTTAACTGGGTCACTCCACAGTCCTGAGAGCGAGTTAAGCCTTCCTACTGCCGCAGGACCTTTGCACACCCTCGCAGGATAGCCTCATTGAGAGTGCAGGTGCTTGGAGTCAGCCAGGGCCATGGAGCACATTCAGCTCCCAACCACTTCCTCCTCTCTCTGTGACCCGAGCCACTGACACCCCTTTCCCCCGTCTCCTTTGCCTCATCTGAAAAGCAGAGGCTAACCACTGAGCATGGCTTCCTGCCCTGTAGACAGACAGCTAAGGAGGGAAGGGGCTTGCTCCTCATGTTTCATGGGCTAGACCTGTCTCCTCTCACGGGGATGCCCAGCAGCCTCTGCAAGCCTGAAGTCACCAGTAAACATCCATGCCAGGAGAGCCCCTGCGGGCTCAGAGCTGGGGCGGCTGCGCCTCACTCTAGAGAAAACCACAATTTTTACCTGGTCCCACCTCTTCTTATTGATTTCACCCCAACCCAGTCTTCCGCTGTCTGTCAGATTCACTGGGCTCATCACCGTGTATGCAGGCAGGAGCTCCTTCCTCTTCCTGTGTCCCCCCATGTGTGCTCACTGAACAACAGTTCTCCATCCACACAATGCGCACGACTAGGCACAGAACGGAACTAACCCCCCACCCACCTGGACACTTTTACAAGTACTTTCTAGGCCCAGGTGAGGAGGGTCTCTAAGCCCTAGCTTGGATCCCTTTGCCTCACTATATTCTCAGAAAACCCATCAGTTCTGCTTTGCCGGGAGCCTGGGGTTTCCTGGCGGCCGAGTAGAAAACTGACACCAATCTCCCAGCCAAGTCAAACTCAGCGAGTTCTTCTCAGAGGTGAGAGGGAGGATGCTCAGCAGGACAGGCTCCAGCCAGACCCTCTGGAAACATCCACCCGAGGTCTAAAGTGTCCAAAGAGGGTGCAACCCAGAGCCTGCCTCGCCAACCCCACTTCCTGGTACCCGCTCACTCGGCGGGGGTGGGGGGAGGAGAGTGAGAAGATGGAACACTGCATTTGAGTTTTGCAATCACCCGCCTAGCTGCCCCCTGGGGCTGGAGCCAGGGTAGGAGGTGGTGTCTTACCTCTGCTGGGCAGAATGAGGGCGACAATAGTGAGGAGACACAGGCGACTGGACGGTGACATCTGTGGGACAAGTGGAGACAAAGGTAAGGCATAGCCCCTTGGCACCTCGTCCCCTCGCAGCCTCCTTGGGGCAGGCCTCTGGCCTCACTCCCACTCTGGTATCTGCCTTTGGGGAGAGATGCTTTTTTAGTCCCAGGCCACCATCCCCTTCTTCTACGTACGAGCAGATCCCTAAAGAAAACCAGAAGTGTAAGACGAGCCTGGCTTTCCAACATCCCTGAGGCAAAGAAGCCGCTCCCTGCTCCAGAAGCTGGAGCTGATCCTCCTGACCGGTGGTTCCTGAGTAGAGGAAGCCAGTGGCCTGTGGCGTCTGCTCCCTCGAGGGCTGGAGCCCAGAGCAGCCGGGCCAGGAGGGGGAACAGGAAGGGTGACTAACGCGGGGCTGCTCTCAAAGGAAAAAGTGAGCTGGTGTCCGGCTGCCCTGCAGGAACCGCGCCCAGCATCCGCGCTGGGAAGATCGTAGAGGGACCTGTCTGCCCGCAATGGAGGAGCTCTGGGGAGACTGAGGCAGAAGGGATGCCCACAGAGGAAACAGAGGAAACGCGAAGCAGAGAGGCGTCGAGATCCCCTTCTCCTCCTCCTAAACTGCTTCCTACCTGCATGTGTGGCCCTGAGCAATAGAGCAAAGGAGGGACTTACGTCCGAGCCCAAGGTCTCCAGACTGAAGTGTCAGAGTACCGCGTGGGAGCTGCCTCAGGGCGGAGGGTGTGGCCAGGGGCGCGGACGCAGGCAGGCGGGGACCAGAGCGACTCAGTCATTTCCTCTCGTTTCCAGGCCCCACAGGCAGGGGTGGGAGCGGGGGAGGGGGAAGGGGGGGGGGGGGGGGCACGGAGGGCGGTGGCCTCCACTCGAGGCTCTGAGGGACGCAGATGGGGACAAGGGTGCAGAGAAGGGAAGACCCCTTGGGGGAGGTGTGGAAGGAAGGATGTGGAGAGAGGAGGAGGCCCTTGGGGAGAAGGAGGGGGAGGAGGGGACAGGACAGCCACCTCAGCTCCCACCCAGTCCTCTGGTGCCCACAGACGACAACACACAGACAGAACGGGGGGAAAACCGAATGCACATTTATTAAGCTCAAGATGTGGACCCTGAGGGTAAGCCGGGAAGGTCCTGGAGAAGGAGACCAGGAGATGCAGGAGGGAGGGACACGAGGATCCCAGGGGGCTGGGGACGGACTCCTGGATCCCAGGAGCTGGAGGCCTGAGTCTCTGGATCTGGGGTACAAATAGACTCTTTGGGGATCGTCGTTGCCAAGGCCTGGGGAGGGAGAGCGGGGTGCATTGGCTCTGGCCTTGGGATGGGTGTGGCGGCTTATTGGGGGCACGCTCCCTGGCGCCAGGCTGGGTCCCCACCGCCTTCTCTGGGTCCTTGGGCTCCTGCGTTCTGGCCAGGGACAGCAGTGGAAATCTGCAGAGGATCCTACACACCGCCACCTCCAGGGGCTGGGAACAGAAGAGAACCCACGTTACTGACCTAAGGAGGGAAAGAATCAGAGTCCAAGGATGGGTGCATCTGGCTAGCCTGGGGAAGCCTCATGTCTTCCCCATCCCTGATATCTGGTCACTGCAGGGAAATCTTCATTGCTGCTGTCTGCCACATCTCTAGCAATGGAAAAAGAGAATCCAGTTTTGGTGGACACCCAAGGCCGACTTGAGTGTTTGGGGAGGCTTAAAGTCTCCTTGGAAGAGACCCCACCTTAGGCTCCTTTTCTATATATGCTCCGGACAACCTAGGCATCGAGCAGGCGTCCTCCAGGCCTCCACTTCCCTTCCAGGACTGGCTACCTTTGATCTCCTGTCCAGCTAAGGCTGGACCAAACACTTGCACCCACCCTGCTCCAGTACCACAAAGAGATAACCCTGATGTTCTTAAATCTCATTAAGAATCTATGAAACATGATATAGTTTTCTCACGATGCTTCCCTCATTTAAACTTAATTCTTTAACCACTACCCGTTGTCATAAAAAAATTTTCCCCCTGAGACAGGGTCTCTCTGTGTAGCCCTGGCTGTCCTGGAACTCACTCTGTAGACCAGGCTGGCCTCGAACTCAGAAATTCACCTTCTTCTGCCTCCTATGAGGATTAAAGGTGTGCACAGCCCCCACCTGGCTGTCCTAAGATTTTAATGGGAAGTCACCCCAATGGCTCACACTTGTAACCCCAACACTTGGGAGGCTGAGGCAGGAGGATGACTGTGAGTGTAAGGTTGGCCTGGGCTACAGAGTGAGTTATTGCACAGCCAGGACTACAGTAAGACACTGTAAAAGGGAAAGAGGTTTTACTCCCCAAAAGTCCTTAGAAAAAAAACAATTCTAAAATTTAAAAAAGTCTCCCATGGACGCCCCTCACAAACTTTCATCCTCCCCACCCCCTGAGCCTCCATCTTATCGTCTTCTCCCCATGTGCTGACTCTCCCTTCTCTCCTCTCTTCTACACCAGCTTCCTCCTCCCCCTCCCCTCTTTCCAGCCAGAATCTTTTATCTTGTTCTTGCTTTTGAGACACAGTCTCGTGTGTAGCCCAGGCTGCTCTCCAACGCCCTCTATAGCTAGGACTGACCTCAAACTTCTGAACTTCTGATTTTCCTGTTCCCACCTCCAGTGTGCTGAGATTATGGAAGGCACTGTGCCCAGCTTCGGCATCTCTGAGGACTGGCCCTGGGGCCTCAGGCATTAATTATCCCCAGCAGCCTCCCCCTCTTTTTTTTTTTTTTTTTTTTTTGAACAGGGTCTCACTATGTAGCCCTGACTGGCCTAGGATTCACAGAGCTCCACCCTCCTTGCCGGCCCCACCTCACTCCAACCCTCCAGTGATGGGATTAGAGGTATGTCCCACTGTTCCTTGCCCATCTCACCCTCATCTTTAAATCTGTATCCCATGCTTCTTCTGGTTGCCTTTATCCAGCAGCCTGCCCTCTTCCCTCTCTCTCCCTTCTCTCCCCTGCCCTGGCCCTTCCGTGCTGGTTCACCGGAAGGTGGAGGAGCACGAAGCCTGTGTAGGCTTCCCAGGTGCTAGCCTCTTCCAACTTCTCAGACTTCCCCAGCCCACCCCACCGAGCTTTCTGAGGCTTGCATTTCATTCGTTGAGACCTTCTTGAGATGCTGCTAGAACCCTCCCTCTGTGGCCCCAGCCTCTGAAGGACCTAGAATCCAACCCCCCAACTCCCAGTCCCCCCCCCCCCCCAGGTAGCCCTCTAAGGACCCTGCTACCTCTAAGTGTCCCCCAGAACTATGCTCACCTGAGGAGGGCAGTTCTGACTTACAGGATTTGCATGTTGGGCTGTAGAGGGAGAGAGGAGGAAGATTAACAGGGTTTAGGGTAGGCTCCCTGAGTCCTATGTTAGAGGTCTCCATCCCAGGACCCCGGGGCTGCCCCACCTCTCAGACCTGGAGTCCGCCTTCCTGCACTTCACCTTCTTGCCTGTTAGGAGAGAGACAGAAGAGAGCGATGCGGGTGGGACAGGAAGGGACCGAGCAGGGCAGGCGGAGGACCTTTAAGGGTAAGGATGGGGTGGGACCAGCAGGAATCCCTCAAAGATCGGGATCTTTGCAAGTGGGGTTAGGGTGGGGTTGGCAGGAGACCCTCTAAGGTGGGGACCCCACCCCGCACGTGGGGAGGACACTTACTGAGGATGATGATGATACCCAGTACGAACATGATAGTGGCCAGGGTCATCCCCACAGTCTGCACGGTGGCGTAGTCTAAGGGAGACAGGGGGACCTCAGGACAGGGCAACCCCAGCCAAGCCTGAGCCTCGGGCCAGTGGTCCAGCAGAACACGAAAGCTGTCCCCTGAGCCCCCAACGCCATCATGGAATAAAAATCCAAATCCCTCCTGGGCCAGAACCTCTGCACCTCTTTCCCCACCCCCACCCCCGCTCACCTTCCTCGCGCTGCCCCACCCCCACTTCCACTCACCTTCCTCGCGCTGCCCCACCCCCACCCCCACTCACCTTCCTCGCGCTGCCCTTCTGGATTCTCTCCTAGACACTAAGCTCGATCACGTGCCTCTTCCCAGAGCCTCATCTTGGTCCTGCCCTCCATGATCAAGGCCTGGACTATCCCAGTGGACCTCTCGTTGGTCTTGGTGCCCCGCCTCCATCTCCCTCCCAACAGCCACAAGAACCCTATTACTTGAAGTCAGAGCAGGCGCCCCAGAGGCCTCTCTAGTACCCCCACAGTATTCCAAGCAGAAACCAAGGGAAATCAGGATTCAAATCTCAGAGTCATCTTAGGACTCTCCCCAAGTTGCTGCTGATTCTTTCAGTACACAATAGCGCTGAAGTCAATGGAGACATTGATTGCTATTTGTTATAGAGGCAGGCAGCAGCCTAGCCTGACTAACTCAGTCTAACCAGCACTGGTGTAATAGATGATAGTCCTTCAGTGGATGACCTAATCCTGACCCTACTCAGGCTTCGGGAGCCCCTCTCTTCCCAGAGTCCTCTGCTTAGCCGTATAAGCCTCCCTATTCCTAGACTGTGCCAACCATCCTGCCTCAGGACCTTTGCACCAGCCACTTTCTCTACCCAAAGGTTCCAGACACGTGACTCCCTTACCAGCCTGTGGGCTTAACTGAAATATCTCAGCTAAAAGTCTCACTCTCACAGCTCTCTCTAACCCATTAAGTTTCCTTCATAAGAATATATTGCTTTGAGACCAGTTCTCACTGCACAGTGCGAACTGACCTCAAATTCACAATGCCCCTGCCTCAGGCTCCTGAATGCTGGGAATAATGGTTCTTATCTCCAATATATGTGTGATGTGAGACTGCCGGGGCAAAAGGTCTGGTCTAGAAACCTCCCCATGGTGTCTCCAGAGTCTGGCGCAGGACCTGATACCCAGCACAGACAGACACCACATGTATTTGCAGGGAGGAGACTTGGGGTACCTGGTGTGTGCACCCTGCATCTGCTTCTTCAGCAGCTGGCTCCAAGGTTGTGATCAAGTGTTCATCAACAAACAAAAATTGCTAACAAAAACTGCTCTCACACACACAAATCCCCAAGTCATGGCAGGGTGCGGTGCGGCTGCTCCCTGCTGGAGGACTCAGGGACAGCCGTCTGGTGAGCAATCAATATCTGATCTAAGGCCAGAAAGCAAAGGAGTCTTAGCTCACTGTACAGAGAGCTGGGGGCGGGGGTGGGGGGGCGGGCGGCCATGTTCCTGGCAGAAAGAACAGTTAAGCCCAAAGGTGCTGAGGTAGTAAGGACCTTGGGCTATGAGATAGCCCTTATGCATAAGCAAAGATGGACGGGGTCAAGAGACAGAAAGAAGAGGATTCAAGCTAGAACTCAGATCCGTCAGACCCAGAGCTTCAGTGTCTTGGGAATGACAGAAAGATACCATTACTGTAACTCTTCCCATAGTCCTCAGTGGTGGGAAACGTTACTACATCTTATTTGCAGGAAGCTGCAGAGAGGCAAAGTTGCTTGCCCTAGTCCACACAGCTAGGGAATGGCTAAATCAAGATTTGAACCCCAGAGTCCTTTTATAACCAACTCTTTGCACGTTGCTGTCTGGCTATTTCCAGTGCACGAGTACCTAGTCCTCACCACAATCCATGGACATGTTGAATGCTATTTGTTATTGAGGCGGGCAGCAGCCTAGTCTGACTGTCATAGTCCATCTAGTGCTGATATAGTGAATGCATTTGCCCTTCCCAGGTCTCTTGCTAGTCTCCAAAGAAGAAGTCTTTGGTTGGTTCTTGCAAACCCATTAATCTCTACCCTGAACCCAAGAAAAAAACAGGCTCTATCAGGGGCTGCAGAAGGTGGGAGACCAACCCCACTCCTCAGTCTGCCTTTGACTTCCACAGGTTCCTCTTCAGTGAGCCATAGCTACAGCTACGTGGCTGGTGGCCTGTGGTCTGTAGACTTAGTAGAAACTACCCCTCCATTCCAGCCCTAGGTTCTCCCAGGCATGAGACTCAACACTCACCATAGAAAAAAGGATCTGTTTCCTCAGGACCTGTGGGAAAGAAAACAGGGGAAGAGAAGAGGGAGAAACATGTTTCAGTGCTGGCTTTCTGAACATCTTTGAGGAGCAAGATGGACCAAGTGCTTCTTTATAGGACTTGGCACAGGAGATCCCTTGCTGCTGGATGATACCGCCTCTTGGCAGAGCTCATAGGATGCTCATCAGACCATTACTCCGTCAGTCAGCACCCTGCCCTTGTGTGGTGCACACCCCACCCAGCTGTGCAGAGCAGTCCTGCTCCTAGACCCCTAGGAGAGCTGGTATGTGCCTTGGAGTCATTCTGTGAAACACGTGTGCACACACACACCACACACAC